AAAGCTAGTTTTTTGTTTATTTTGATTTTTTAATTTATTCAAAAAAATTTTTTAGTCTCAGAGCCCCATTTTCCTAGAAAACCTCCCATATATTTACTATTATTTATTCAGCAAGAAATACTGAAAAAACAAAGACTTTAGATAAATTAACAAAAGATATTAGAGTATCATCATAAATAGTAAAAATTTAGCTAATAATTTAAGCAAAAAATAAAATACTTCATCATAAAGGATGGAACTGATTTTATTTTTACAAATAGTTTTAAATACTTTTTTAATTTAAAACCTAAATTTAATATAAAACTGATTCAACCGAATATTTAGTTATAATAAAACTGAAAAACTGAAAAACTGAATTGCAATTAATTTTATTATTGTAAATTTATAAAAATCTTACAAAAAAATACAAAAACTTCAAAGGAAAAAATTATTAGTATACAATAAAAATAAAAATTTGAAGCAATGATTTCATAAAGGATCTAATAAAAATGTTGCTAATGTTGCATAATTATCAAATGCTAATAAAACATAAATATTATATTTTAGGATTTGATTTTAATGCATAAACCAGTTCAATCAGTTTCATTAATTCGTATTTTCACAATAAACTGATTTTAATAAAACCAGTTTTTGAATCTGAAAAAATAGACCCAGTTTTATGTTATAACTAGTTTAAACTGAATTTAAATCGATTTACACCAAACTGATTCCAACCTCTACTTCTGCATGTACTATTTTTATTTTTATTTTTATAATAATAATATTTAACAATTCTTATATAATATTAAAAATGAGAACTGTAATTAATGCGTTTGCAACTTTTAATGTTGCAATATATATTGCAAGTTTTAACTTATACATATTGCATCTTATACTTTTACAACTTATATTACAACCAATTTTAGTTTATGTTGCAACAAGTTATAAATTTGAAATTAATTGCTGCATCATTTTTATATAATATAATACTTTATTTTTATCATTCACTAAATTTATACTATAAAAAATAAATAAAATTAAAATTACTAAATTGACTATTAAATTTATCATTAATTATTTTTTATGTATTGCAAAAAAATTTCTAAAAATTAATAATTAGTATTGTTTAATATTATATTAAAATATTAATTATATTTATTTAATGCTTTGAAATTACTTAATAATAAATAGTAATAATATTTTTATAATTTAAGACACTTTTATAATATAATATGCAATAGTATGATTGATATAATTTTCTGATAAATAGGAATTGAATACATGATGAATTAGTATAAAATATCAGGTTTCTCTAAAGTACTTGATCATTTAATTGAAAAAAGTAAACTTTAATATATCTAATCATATAACTTGTTTTTATTCTTTTTTTAAGTTCAATTTTTTACATTATTTCAATTGATTAGTTTAATTTTCTTTTAATAAGATTTTTTTATGTATTATAATTCTAAAACTTTCTTATAAAGGTAATTTCTAATATTATATTATAATATAAGTTGTGTTAAAACTGTAATTTAGTTAGTTTGTTAAATCACTTAAAATTAAACTTCAGTTAATTTAAACTATATATTATAAAACTCGAATATCATATTTAATAAGTATTTTAGTCATATACAGTGGTTGCAAAAAAAATGAACTTTTTTTTGAAAAAAAGATCAACAAGCGTAACTTGCCCAATTTTGGTTAGATTTACACAAATAATTATGCAAATAAAGCCTGACGATCACTCTATCATCTTTTAGCGAAATCTTTCCCACACATTAATAAAAATTATTTTTTATCAAATATTAAAATGACTTCATCAACCCAAGAAACACAATGACAAACCATTTTACATTATTGGAAGTAAGGAGTACGAAATGCTATTGAAATACAAAGTTTAACAAAGATTCCAATCAGTACTATTTGTTGAAACCTTAAAAAAATGGAAAATATTGGAGATATCAAACGTAAAAGTGGTAGCGGAAGTATTAAAAAAATACCCCCATATGCATTTCGGGCAATTAGACAGTTTATTCAAAGGGAACCTTCAATTTCTGCTAGATCTATTGCTGCTAAATTAGAAGATATAGGAGTAGAAGTCTCCCGCTCAACTTTTTCAAGATATTTAGCTGACCTGGGATATTGAAATGCACTTCTTCTTTGCACACCAATGTTAACTATACTTCATAAACAAAAACGAGTTGAATGGGCCCAAAAACACAAGGATGATGATTGGAAAATGACCCTATTTAGTGACGAAACAGCTTTCCAATTATTCTGTAATATGATAAAGCATTTGTATAAAAATGCAAGGCCAATTCATCCAATACCAAAGGACTGTAGTAAAATCTTTGCTTGGGGTGGTTTTTGTGTAAAGGATACTACTAGTCTTTTTTGTTTTAGGTGTATAATGAATAGAGAATTCTACATGGAGATATTAAAAAAACATATCCCGAAAGTGCACAGCATGTTACAAGACAATTGGTAGTTACAGCAGGATAATGATCCTAAGCATACTAGTAACATTGCTAAGAATTTTCTTGCTAAAGAAGTCTCAGAGGTTATGGATTGGCCTTCTAATAGTCCAAACCTAAATCCCATTGAAACCTTTGGGCAATTGTTAAAAGAAATATGGAACAGCGTAGGCCAAAAAACCTTGGTAAATTAGAGTGTTTTTTGGGGAGGAGTGGGGGAAAATTCCAGATAGCCTTCTAATTAATCTTGTAAACTCAATGCCACAGAGTTTGTAAGAAGGTTATCGAAAAAAATGGTGAAAGAATATCCTATTAATTTTTTTTAATAAAATTTACATAATTTTAGCTTTAAAATGACGTATTGTACATTTTAATTGATGCATTACTTATGGAACTAACGCGATTTTAAAAAGGTTCATTTTTTTTGCACACCACTGTATGATATTTTTCAACATATTTTTATATCTTTTAGTATCATTTATGATTTTAGTAAAAATATCAAGTGAATAAAAATAACTGTTTGCTTATTATTACTAAGATATATATTTATAATTCATTTTTGATAAATAATTAGTAATTAGCTACTATGTATTTTAAATTTAGAAAAGAAATAAATTATTATCTTTCTTATTTATTTATATAATAGGAAAAAATCACTGATTGTAAAATTAAGATATCATTTCTTATAAAATCCAGTAATTTATTATAGACCAGTATATAATAATAAAAATACTTTTACCTAAAGGTATTGTAAGGTATTAACCTCTTCTAATGAAATGTTAAACTTACTTCATCCTAATGTTAGTTAATCAATAAATTAATATTTAAACTTAATAAAAATACAAAGATATTTATACATATTAAATAATTAATAAATTAAGCCAAACTAAATATATTAATAAAAATAAAATTAATTATTACTAGGAAAATATATTGACAAAGTGGCCTATAATATGATCTATAAGAAAATAAAATTAACATCAAATCATCAAAAATTTCTCTGGGTAATATTTTTACCCATCACAATGTAAAAGGAAAATGAAATTATATTTTCAATTAATTTCTTTATTTATTACTTTAAATGTGAAAAGAATTTATTATTGTCATTAGAGCTATTGAAATTTTCGGGATTGCTACCATTTTAATTTTTACATCAATAAAGAACTATCTAATTTATAATAAATTTGTGTTACTATTTCTAATAATACGAACTAACTAATTTTGTAATAAAAATATGTATAAAAATAATATAAATATTAAACAAGATGAATTAGACTTATAAGGCTGATTAGCGAATTCAGGAGTATTCTAAGGATCAGAAAAATCAGGAATATATATAATTAATTCTTTGCAGAAATTCTATTTTTCAATGATGAATTTTTAATAACCTTTGCAATAGAAAAGGGGAAACTGCCGGGGAAATCAATTTTACTTTTATATGCCAAAAATTATTTTTAGGCTCAAATTTGGAATTAACTCATTTTTTTATTTTCCCGGTAGTTTCCTCTTTTCTATTGCAAAGGCCCCATATATTTCAAGTAATATTTATTTTTTATTATAATAAAAGATTCTTTTAAACTGCACTGCAATAAATGGGTAGATCAACATATTAAAAAAAAAAAAATTATTCGTTAAAATGCATGCATGCATTTATGCATGTATAGGAATTCGTTGCATGCATATTGTGTTATACAACCAAATTGAATGTATTTTTTTTTTATTGTTTTTTAAAAAAATTAAATTAATTTTTTTTTGAGCTGCGTATAATAATCTTAGAAAAAAGATATTTCAGTATTTTTTAATGAACGACTTTTATAACTGTTGCACATTTTGTTGTATATTTTTTTTTAAAACAAAATCTATTAGAATGATCAAAAATTATTAATCCAATTTTGAATTAAAAATTTTTGTTATTGTCTGTAAATAATGGGTAGTTTTTAAAATTCAGCATATTCTTTCCATCTTATTAAATACTATACCCACCTGTATAAGTTTTATATACTAATATTCAACTGTCTTATAATGCAAGATAACAAAAGAAGTTGAATGTGTTTCGTAAGGTGTAAGATTATCTTCCTTATTATTGATAATCTCTTCATTATTAGCTTGATAAGTCAATTTTGAATCAATTAATTTCTTTGATTTATATTATTACTGTAGTGCTTGAAAATTAAAAATTAATAAATATTTGTATCACAATAAATATAAACAAAAAAAAAGCATTGATCTATTTTGTGGGATGTGCAACCTAAAATCCGATTTACTAATATAAATAATTCTAATTATTTTTATTTTTTAAAAAAAATTGGAACTTTGGACAAGAATATTACACTACTACAAGCACATTCCGTTCAAAAGCTTTCCAAAGATTATATTTCGTTGTTATCAAAAATGATCACATCATTGATAGTAGATATAATAAAAGACTTACTATCATCAATACCATCATATGTACTCGGTTGTCTACCAGCTATCGCAACAATAGGTGCTTCCCCAATGCGGGGTTTTTTGGAGAAGCTCATGTGGGTATTCCGATGCCTTGGTTGTCCATTTACAGGGTTGTATTATACATGCAACATCAGTAATGATGAGTCATCATTATGTTTATACTGGCTTGAAGCAAAATATTTTAAATTTGTAGGCAACCATGACGAAGAAAAATCCAAAGTTGATGGTGACCAATTAACCTACAGACCTATCGGAATTCATTATAAAAGTCTAATTCGTGAAAAATTCACGAGAGAAATAATTAATATAATAGACGAATGCACGGCACAAGCATCTGTTCTAGAAAGGCTGTCATCATTACCCCCAGCATATTATATGGGGGTCGGTATATTTGCCGGAATTTCTCGATTGGTAATACCTCGCGATTGTGAATTCTTGCCACATATACCGATGGCTTTAATATGGATATTTCCTGCACTTTTCAGGAGAATAGTTGGAGGAATCTTAGTTGTAAAGGATCCTAACGAAAAATTTAAAATGTTTGAAGAACAAAGCAAAAGAATAACTAGTAAGAAGAACAGAAAGAATAAACGGAAAAAGTTAACGAACAGAACACCTAAAATACCCGTGAAATACAGTGATAATCCTAAATATTTCTACGTATTTTTGACTGGTTTTATATCGATAATAATCCCCTGGACTGTTGTAATCCTGGCCAATTTGACGCCTCCAGTTGGCTGTCGTTGCCGATGCAGATATTTAAGTGTTCAGGCCTCCATATGGTCATTTAATAGTTTATTGGCATTAATACAACATTGCATGGGAGAGAAAAGTGTGAAAGGTAATACGTACCTGCACGCATGGTTCTTTATTAGCGGTTTAATAGTTTTTTTCTTATTGATCGGATTTGTCGTGATGACCAGCAACATATCAATTTGGGTTAATATTTTTGGAAATTATTGTGCATGTACAGTACAATGAAATGAATTATTATAGTATAATAGTGATTTTCTTATTGTTAATATAACTAAAAACTGGTGTTAAAGCAAAATTATTTACTAGCACAATTTTTATCATTACAAACACATGATCTTCCGCAATAATCAAATTTTATTGAATAATTTATACCAGTTAATCAATTTAACTTACGCATTTTAAGTTGTTTCATTCTGGTGCTTCTTGCAAAGTTGACTTAAATTGGTTAAAATTTAACTTGGGCAGACACTATAAATTTGGCCAGAGCTAAGAAAATTTTAGTAATGATGAAATTTTTCGAATTTTTGAATTTCGGCCGGAGTTAAATTTAACTAATTTTAACTGGTTAGTTAGCAAGTAAGTTAACCCGTCTGTACCAATGAAAATACTGGTTAAAACTTACATTAATTTTGATAGATATATAAAGATATTTATCTTCTTTTTTATTTTATATTTATTTTATTGTTGGAAAATTTTTTTAAGTATACTGAATAGTTTTGTCGAAACATTGCTTAATAAGGTTAAGCATAAAATGGTTGATATAGACAATTTTAGAAAGTATGTTTACTTATTATCTTAGATTTTAAATTATTGAATAATAAAATTTATTTTTTTTAATAAATTAGTGAAAATAAATCAAAGTAAAATTTAGAATTATTCTAGATAAATATTTCTTTGCTCTTATTTTCATTAAAATTAGGGATGCTAATGGTCACGGTTATGACCGGTCATGATACCATACCGGTCGGTCAAAGACCGATTTTGGTTGATCAGCAATGATTTTTTAAAATTAAAGTCCGCGATAAATACTGTATAATATGTATATAAATAACTTTTACACTTTTACAAGTGCAATGTTAAAATGGTAAAAATGAAAAATAAAATAATCATATTTATCTCAACTAATAAGTCATAAAATGCTACTGCGATTATTAAGTTATATTAATTTTAAAGGTTGATCAACCAGTCAGCTAAAATCGGTCGGTCAAGAGCCTTAAACCGACCGTTGCCATCCCTAATTTAAATACTGGAATTTTTTTAAAATCCAATAATTTGCACTTTTTTTTTGAAAAAAATGAATATCGCGAAATTTCTAAATGTTACACAAAATCCGAGGTTGCCCAAACGAATTCTAAAATAAAACTCGTTGTAGTTCACGTAACCAAAAATTTTATTGACTACATTACACGCCTTCTATCATTATCGACTATCATACATATAAAATATTTGAAGAAGTTAAATGTATTGTTGAAAGAGGTAATAACAATATAAAGTTATCAATATCTTAGTTTATGGCGTAATATTAAAGAAATTGGAGAGATAAGAAACAGATAAATCATAAGAAGGATAGAAATTAGTACTATCTTAAGCATTAGGAGAAGAAACACAAACATATAAGAAGGTTACATAGAGTTTAAGATAGTTAGCATTGATGAAATAGACCACATAAAAGTTTGTGTTAAATACAGTGGTTTATTAAAACCACCTTTGGCTAAGTATTAAACTGTTCATAAGATTCAGGTGTTGTATAATACACTTTTGGGTTACAAAAAAGAACGCGATTATAATTGCTTATCTTTAAAAGCTTATAATTCATCAACAACGAAATCTAAAAACACGTAGAGAATGTCCAATAAAAAAAACTTGAAGCACAATTATTAGTACAAATTTTACATTAAATTTTCTTCATGAGATTTATGTAAAAATTGAAAATTATTATTGCTGACATTCGTTAAGGATATGATTTATTTTCCACAGTAATATGTTTAAAGCTGCTTTCTACTAAATGGTTGTCTCCTATTACAATATAATCTCATTGTACAGTTTAACTTTGTTTCAAGTTTATTGAGATTTAAAACTGTAATAGTAAATTCAAAAGCGACTAATCCACAAGTTACTAAAAGCTCTAATAAGTTTGTAATGATAAAGATGTATAAGCCTCGGACCTATGTCAAATGTTAAATCTCAAAATCAAAATAAACAATCTCGCGTATAATAATTTTATTAAAATTTAGAATTTACAGTACATTTAAAGGTACTTGTACTATATTGACATATCGTAATATAAAAATTATTTGATTCGGTAATGTAATAAAGATAAAATACAAATGCATGAAAAGTATTTAAATGCTTATGCAAAAAATGTGCCAAACGGCTTCTTTTTGAAAGAATTTATTTAATCTTTGTTTCAATATCATAATAACATTAAAAAAAAAGAAATTAAGCTATGATTAGCGTAAAGATGATTTATTTATTTCAGCTTATAATAATTCATGGCACAATTATTAGAAATGATAATTGTAATAGAGTTAGTTGAATTTAGCCGAAATTTTTGAAGAAATGTAAATTTCAAAAAAAAAAAAATTAAGTTATATTATAAGTTTCATGTTCAGAGGAGCTGACAAGTTCGTTATTGAAACATCGTTGTTATAAGTTATATTAATGCTAAGGCATATGATAAACACTTGTATTTAGAGAAGAAATAGACTGGAAATTCAAAAACATAATCCGCTACTTTACAATATACATAATATCAATAATTTAAAGACTTTTTTTATATTGATTAAAGAAATTTTTGTTTAAAAAAATTTTTTGGCAAATCTCTCCTTCAATGCAAATATTTCCCTCTCGTCTACCTAAGCTGAACTAGTTGCCATCCTAGCAACGATATATGTCTCTCTAATTGAACCCAATATCACTATCTCCATAGACTCTCAAAATATTATTACACGGATCAACGTGTCGAATATCTGGCTGATCTCGTAAACAAACGCCATCTTCGTCAAGATTAAACTCATGACAATGATGAACTAGCAAAGTATTTTCAAGCTCCGAAAACGAAACTCCAACAAATTATTTTCGAATGCTCCTTACAACCTTCTACAAATTGAAAAGACTATATACTACAACCAGACAACATATCAAAAACCTTGCATTGGTCAAACCCTACAAATCTGTCATAATCATTAAATATTAAGGATACGACATAGACTGGATAACCACTAGCTTTATTATCAACAACAATTATAAACCCTATATAACCTTCCAATACAGCTGCATAAAAAGAAATAAGTTCGACTCCTTCTAGAAAATCTCCCTGGATTGGAAATTTCCTACCATTAACGTGAAAAAGATCCATGATGAAGGTTTTCTACAAGTGAGCCAGTATCTACTAAATTAACACATAGTATATGTTAAGAATTACGATGCAGAAAGTATTATTTTTGATATTATCTTTGACATTAAAGCTTTATCACGTGATTTGGAATCGCAAAAATCAGATTTTTAATTTACATTGCCAATTTCGTTATTTTTTTTTTAGAGTTTCGTACTGTACCGGTTTTTTATATAGAATAATAAAAATAAAATATATCTTGGAAGTGATGATAGTGATGATGATATGTTAATTTTCTGCAAATCGGATCTTAACCAGAAAATGGAAGCTAAAGAAAAGGTTTTTTGCCTTGCAGGGAGCGTAAGATTTGAAAAGGATAATCGATTGGGTGCTTGCGTCACAAACCGATAGAACCCAAAAGCTGAAAAAAAAGATAAATAAAGAAAAGTAAATTAAAAATACTTACCTGGTACTCACAAAACCATCCGACCTGAAGAGGAAGGGGCAATAGATCCAATATCGTTATGTCGGTGAACATGAAGTAATTGAACCTATGCTAAAAGAAAAAATTAAAATCGACTCATCTGACATCTGCGAAGCTATATAATCTAAAGGGACAAAAGAACTTTTGTAAATTTGCTGCGGCTGATTTTGATATATTTGAAATTAAAGTTAGAATTTGGGTATTTCAACTTTGGTCAACTTATCAAAATGTTTTATTCAATCACAATATGACAATTTTTTAAATTTTCGTAATTGTCAACTTCAATTGTATATGAAATTATGAGAAAGATTCAGGCTTTATTTTTTTTGCTTTTGAATCTTTTGAATCAACTTGTTAGTCAAATTTTAAAATCTTAAAGCAAATTGATCGCGTAAATTTTTAAACTTTTAAATTTAATTATGATGCCTTCTGGTATCTTTACGGGCGTTACCTCTTAACCCCTTGCTCACATGCTTTGGAAAATTGGGCAAAAAATAGATTTCACGAATGTGCATTATCTAGGACTAATTCACGTCATAAGAAGTTAGTAAAATTATATAATTCACGTGATTAACCAAATAAATTATTTCCAATGATATTTCATTAAAATAATTTTTTTTTTAAGCATTGTAAATTAATACTTTCTTTAGATTTATTTTCTGATAGGAGTAAAACAAAAAAAAAATAGATTTGTTTATTAAATTTTACTTTTAAATATTTCAATTTTGCTTTACTGCAAGAAATTTTTTTGTATTAAATAATAATATTGGTAAAAAATTTTATAAAAAAAATTGAGTTATTACTGAACCCCTGTTTAACTTCTTGTTTCGAAGGTCACGTTGCAACTATAATCTCGATCTAAAATCTCGCTATAAATCAGAAACCCAATATTTTGCACAATATGGTTTAATTTCTGAATTTTTAATCTTATAATTCACGTGATATTTTAAAAAATAATCTTCTTTGACGTTTATGTAAACTTCATCTATACTAAAATATAAGCTTATAACATCAGTCAGGTTTAGTTAATATTTATAGTATCACATTACTGTTTCCAAAACACGCTTTATCCTTATAGTCGATATATAGCTTGTTTAAACTAGAACAAACTAATAAAAACAAAATAACGAAAAGTTTCTACATATGTATTTGACGCATCAATAAAGATGATGATGAATAGACTTTTAAATCGGTCTCTTAAAGGATTTAAAATGTTTGTATTTTTTACAAATTTTTAAGATAACAAAAAAAGTTCATATCCTTTCATGAATATTCTTGAGAATATCGGGCTTTCACAATATTTTGAATAATTATTTGAAATTTATTTTTTTCAAAATAGAACAAATAACTTATTCACCGTGCTATCTATCTTTCGCATAAACGGTTGCAACCTATTTCGTCAATAACATTCTTGCAGATGGACAAGCGATGTTCTCTTCATTGCTATTAGAAATATAAATGGATTGAAGATTATTAATAAAATTTTTTTACATTTATTTTTTAGATCAAAAATTATATCATTAAATCTATAACACAAGTTAACATGTGATCCACATGGATGGACTACCTATTACTAATCACAAATATCAAAATAATCATTGTCTAGATTTCATTGTTTGGTAGTTTCCACCTTTCTATTGCAAAGATAACTTTTATTTACCCTGATGGTATTGATCTATAAAAATAAAAATATTAATTAAAGGTTGGAACTGATTAATTTTTAACCTGTTAATTAACCAGTTAAGACGTTTATCTTGTTAACCGATTAAAGTTTTTTTTTAACCGGCCGGTTAAAATATTTAATGTTAACTCTGGCCGAAATTTAATTTTCGAGCAGAATTAAAATATTTTTGCAATTACAAACTTTCGCTAGTTTTGCCCAAATTTATAGTGCCGGCTTTAGTTAAATTTAACCGATTATTAACCGATTAAGATTTTGGGCCGGTTCCAACCTCTAATATTAAATTAATAAAAATGTTGATTCAGTATCATTAAAATAGCAATATGATAACAGAATGTAGTGCTCCTACCGGGTCAAGTCGGGTCGGGTTTAGAGAATATATTCGACTCGACCGAATAAAAAAGGAAAGACCCG